GGTTTTCTGTCCGTCGTGCGCTCGGGGCGCGCGGCAGTTTTCTGCCCTGGGGAGCCCACGCGCGCCTCGCATGTTCGTCGCGGCGCCCAAGGGAGCCCGCGCGCGCCCCGCTTGTTCGTCGCGGCGCCCTGGGGAGCCCGCGAGCGCCCCGCCCGTCTGTTGCGGCGCCCTGGGGAGCACGCGCGGCCCCCACCCTGCTCGTCGCGGCGCCCTGGGGGGCACGCGCGGCCCTCGCTCGTTCGTCGCAGCGCCCCAGGGAGCCCACGCACACCCCGCCCGTCCGTCGCGACGCCCTGGGGAACCGCGCGCGCACCCCCCCCGCCCGTCCGTCGCGGCGCCCTAGGGAGCCGCGTACGCCACCCCCCTCCCCCCGTCCCGACCGTCCGTTTTGGCGCCCTGGGGGTCGCGAGCCGTCCCCCCCTCGCTGTCCCCCGCGCTCCTGCCTCTATCCCACCCGTTTTAGGGTTTGGGGGTGAGGAGTGTGGGGGTAGCGGTTGTAGGGGTGTCGGTTGTGCGTTACTCCCCTTGCTCCTCCTCCTCCCTAGTCTCCCGCTGCTGCAGCTGCCGCTGAGGGGGGTGGGTGTGTGGGAGCCTAGGGTTTAGGGTTTAAGGGGGGTGTCGTGGGAGTGAAGCAAGGGGTGCAGCAAGGGGTGTGTGAGAAGGGGGGGTGGGACTGTTAGGGGAAGTTAAAGGGGGTGGCCGCCGTGAAGCCAGCAGCTCCAGTCGGTCGTGAGACCGTTGCACCAGTCGCCCGTGAGCCCGTCGCTCCAATCGCCCGTGAGCCCGTTGCTCCAGTCGCCAGTGGGTCAGTTGATCCTGCCGCTCGTCTAGCCGCGGAGACCGTTACTCCAGTTGCCCGTGTGACAGTTGCTCCAATTGCCAGTGTGCCAGAGCCGGAACCAAGGCAAAAGGTGTAACCCTGTGACGACCGCTGCGTAGCCTGGTCGTCAGCCCAAGAAGCGTCTGCGTGACCTTTGAGGACCACTGGACGTCGCACTCAAAGCACTAGCCCCATGCCTGACCTACTGCACAAGTAGCGCAACACCCTCTTCGCTGCTGTCATGTGCTCTAGTCGGTGTCTCCCAGGAGCAACACAGCGTGCCAAGATGCTAAGAGGGTATGCTAGGTCAGGTCATGTGCAGGTCATCATGTATATGAGGCAGCCAACAAGCTCTGGGTACGGGCCACTCGGCTCTACAAGCTCATCCGAAGGCAGAGCTGAGAGCGAGCGGCGAGTAGACAGAGGAGTGGCCTGAGGCGAGGAGTACGTGAAGTCGAAGCGCTGAAGGACCTGCTGCACCATGTGTGACTAAGTCAGGGTAATGGTACGCTGTGCTCTGTCCCGGGTGATCTGCAAGCCAAGGTAGCTGCGCAGTTCACCCAGGTCTGTGCACGTGTGTCTCTTCTGCAGCTCGGACTTCACGTGGGCGAGTCCAGCAGTGTCAGCTGTGGCAAAGACCAAGTCGTCGACGTACACGAGGATGTAGAACGGCGGCAACGAGGTGTCGGTGCGCAGAAACAGCGACGCGTCGGCAGTAGACGGAGCAAACCCCCAAGAGCCGCAAGAGTAGTCCTCAGTGTGTCGTGCCACTCACGAGGCGCCTGGCGGAGACCGTAGACTGGCCGGAGGCTCCACTGTGTACCAGGAGGAAACGACCCAGTGAAGCCAGGTGGGCAGCGCAGCCAGATCTCCTCGTGCAGGCTGCCCTGCAAGAAAGCTGTGCTGAAGTCAAGAGAGTGAAGCTCGTAGTCGCGTTGAGCGGCTATGTGCAGCAGCACCCGAAGAGTGGTCATCTTCGGGTTGGGAGAGAAGGTCTGAAAGTAGTCAACTCCCTGCCTCTGTCTGAAGCCTCGAGCCACGTAACGCGCCTTGAAGACAGGCGGAGAACCCGGCGGCCGCTTCACCCTGAAAATCCACATGCCACTGACGATGTTCGCCCCAGGTGGGAACCTTGTCAATGTAGATGCCTGTGCACTTCTAGGAAGCCATCTCTGCGTCCATGGCTGACTGCCACTGTGAGGAATAGGGACCCTCGATCGCCTCAGAGTACGATCGAGGAGTCGGGATGTCTGGTGCATCCGGGTCTCCCTCAGGGGCAATCAGCGTGGACACGAGATGAGGCAAAGCAGTAGGAAAAAACTGGAACTCCTCCTGCCTGTCCTCAAGAACGTCCGTGCTAAGAGCACACTCACCCCCGACGGACGGAGGACAGACAGACTCAGACTCAGCAACAAGACTAGCAGCGTAGTCTAGACGACCGCGAGCAGCAAAGTCGACAAGCTCAGCAACTAAGGCAGACGCAGCACTGGACTCAAAAGAAGGGGCAGTGGCAATTGTAGCCAGGAGACGCGTGACAGTAGGACTGGTAGCACGAAGAGAGGACTCTAGAGGAGACGGCAATGGGACACGCAGAGGAGCAGTGGAAGGACGAAGTGCCATTCGGTGTGTGCTAGGGACCGCAAGAGGACGCGGATGCGGAGCACGACGACTAGTGCGAGCAGCACGAACAGGCAACGCAGGACGAGACGCAGGCTCACGACGCTCAGCAAGACCTCCAGTAGGACCAGTGTAGGGAGAAGGAGCAGGTAGGGGGGAGGCGGGGTGCAACTGTGACCGCGACTGGACAGGCTGTGGACACTCGAAGGGAGGAGCAAGACAAGTAGAGGGCGGGAGACGAAGAACCTGCTCAATGAGCGGAACGAAGTACGGCCGTGGCCGCGCAGCGCCTCCAGAACCAGCAGGGACAGCACCAGTACCCCCACTGGCAGCACCAGCGCCAGCAGCACCTCTAGCTCCAACAGCGCCAACTCCAGCACCCTCAGAAGCACCAGCGCCAACAGAACCACCAGCGCCAACACCCCCAGCAACTCCAGCTCCAGCAGCTCCAGCAGCACGAACTTCAGCAGGACCGTCAGCTCCAGCACCGCCAGCAGCTCCAGCAGTACCTCCAACAGGACTAACTCGAGCAGCCCCAGCAGCACCCCCAGTCCCAGCAGCTCCAGTACCGCCAGTACGAGCACCTCCGGGACCAGCAGCAACAGTAGTACCTCCAGCTCCAGCAGCACGGCTCCAACGGCGAGCAAACCACTCGCGCAGCTCCTGCGGAGAGAGTAGCTCCCGCCTCGACGAAGCAGACCCAGCACCCCCAGGCTCCGCACCCCCAAGCTCCGCACCCCCAGGCTCAGCACCCCCAGGCTCAGCACCCCCAGACTCAGCACCCACAGGTTCAGCACCCCTGGACTCATCACTCCAAGGCTCTGCACCCCCAGGGTCAGCACCCCCAGACCCGGCACCCGCAGGCTGAGCACCCCTAGAAACACCATAGTCAACGTCTACCTCGACAGGCTCGACTGCGTCTACCTGGGACACACCTGACGGGGCAGGACCCTGAGGGGGGAGAGGGTCTACCAGAGGAGGACCTGGCGCAAGGAAGAGCGGCGGCGGGGGGAGGGGCGCAGTGCGGTAGGGGAAGAAACGGTAGTAAGGCACCACTCGTTTAAGGTGACGTCATGGGAGGACAGAACACGGCGCGAGGTGGGGTGGTAAAACTGCCAACCAGGCGCGTCAGGGGGGAAGCCAAGGAAGACGCAGGGAATAGCACGGGGGGACAGCTTATCCGCAAACAAGTCGCGGACAAACGCCCGAGATCCCCAGACCGGAAATGCAGACGCATCGCCAACCTTCCCCGTCCACCGCAAGGTGGGGGAAGTCTCTGGCAAGGAGACCCGGGGCTGAAGGTTGAGCTGATGCGCTGCTTACTGTACTGCAAACGGCCGCGGAAAATGGGGAGCAGCCGCATGGATCATGGACGTACGAGCGACGTCGATAACCACGCCAATGCAGCACTCAGGAATCCCATTTTGCTGTGGAGAGGCTGGAAGCGTGAAGGTCTGGCGGATGCCCTGTGTACGACAGAAGGCTCCCAGACAGGCAGAGGAAAACTCTCCGCCTCTGTCAGAGTGCAAACGCAGAACAAGAAAGTCTGAGCCGAAACTTTCTCTGAGCTGGAGACGAGCTGCGTGGATCCAGTCGATCAACACCTCAGTGACGTCACCCTTGCTGCGCAAGGGGAACACCGTGGTGTAACTGTTGTGTGATGCAACCATATGCATTAACGTCTGTCTGCCTCCCATCATGTGTTTGTGCGTTGCATGCGTGGTGTGAGCGTGTGCAATAAATTTGTATCTTGTCTGGTTTGGATTTTCTGTGTCTGTGTGTGTGTATGTTATTTGGGTTGAGCAGATATCTGAAGTGATTCTTCTGCTCAAGAGCTTTCCGACAAACCAAGTATCGCTTCAATCGGAGCACGAATTAGAAAGTTACGAACGTCGGAGTTCGTATGCTTTTCATATTTGATTGTGGCAATTGTGGGAAGTTGTGGGGCTGACTCAATATGGGGTACAGACTTTTGGGGGTTGGGAAATTCGTCTTTTCTACTGTAGTTGCTGCCAAATGGTTGGGAGAAACCAAACCAGGTTGGCAAGTGTGGCCAAGTTGGGTTGAGGTGGATTGTGGAGTTTGCGATAGTGACAAAGGTCAAAGTTGGGTTGCCTATGGGGAAGGGAATTGTGTGGCATGGGGTTTTCTTGGTTGAGGACTCTCTTGGGACCTTCTTTCTCGTCCTCCTCTCCCCCTCCTACCTGGTTTAGTGCTACTCTAATGTTCTTTTGTGGGACTTGTGAGTTAATTGTGATTGAGTTAAATTTCTGTGGCACCATACCCCCTAGTGCGCCGAAAAGCATAACTCAAGATATGCTTCATATTTTAATACGATTGAAATTGGGAAATGTAGCCACAGTTTAGGGCTACAACATATTCGAATTTCGTGGGATTCTTACGATGCTCCTTTCGTCGACAATGTTTCTTGTGAAGTCGACGTTTCTGTCCAGAAATTGAGACCAATGATTTTGAGAAATTTGGGCACCTAATCTTCATAGACTCCGTCCTTAGTCTTTATCAGTAACGCGAGTATTCGTCAACCACCAACAGGAAGTAACGCTCATGACCCTGGCCACGGACGCGGGCAGGGCCCCACACGTCCATGTGAAGAGTCTGCAGGGGAGCATCTGTCGGAGGAGTGAGGGGCGGCGCGCTGCCGCCCCTCGACGCAGGGAACGCAGGTAGGGGCAGGCCCCGGAGGGAGGGGAGGGAGGGACCGGGGGAGACCAGAGACAAGGACACGGGAGGCCATGCCTCGGAGACGAGGCAGGGAGGGGTGGCCAAGGCGGTGGTGCCAAAGGAGAGTCTGCTGGGACAAGAGACGACACGATCAGGGAGCAGACTCAGGACCAGCCCTGGACGCTGCAGCAGACACTTGACTCGACGCAGCTACCTAACCAGACGCAGCAACCGGAGGAGACTCAGTAGTCAGTGTGTACAGGCTCGACCCCGGCCAACGGGTAAACGTGGCCAAGTGTCGGCCCGTCCGAGCACACGTACAGTGGGTCAACCGCTAACTTGCAAGAAAGAACTGGTCAACCCCCCGATCCTGTAGATCAGCACCACTCACCAAGTTCGTAGAGAACGAGGGGAGGTAGAGACCTGACAGGGTGCCAGAGGGAGCTGCCGGACACGGTAAGACTGTGGAGAAGCTAGCAAGGACAGGACCCCAGAGGGGTCCGCCAGGGAGACCGCAACCGGCCGACTAAGCGGCGTAAGCGTGGTGCGGTCTCGAAAGAAGGAGCGGGAAGCACCCGAGTCTAGGGTGAAGGTGTTTAAGGCCTGGGCTGACGTGGTACCTGAGAGAGCAGACTCACCAGCACCTGGGGCAGCGGACGCACTAGCACCTAGAGCAGAAGCCTCACCAGTAGTTAGAGCAGCAGCCTCACTACCCGGGTCAGGCGGAACACACAGGTAACAGTCACCCTCATCACTAGTAGACACAGCATACATGGCAGCAAGAATAGCATCATAGTCAAGATCAAAGATTGCAACCCCCGCCCTAGACAGCTCTCCCCAGCGAGGGATCTCAGTGGCGTCAGGAAAATGGTGACGCCAAGCGTCCGTCAGGCAGCCGAAGCAGCGCTGGGTAGAGTGCGTGCCCCCGCACTGCTCACCAGCGCGGTCGCCAGTACGTAGGACGTAGGTACAGGGACCAGTACCCCCACCTCGCTGACGCCCAGCGTACCACTCACCAAGCTGCTGGGGGGACGGGGTCTCTCGAGTGCGCTGCTGCTGCTGGCGCTGACTACCACAGGAGCCACTCCTCTGCGCACAGCCGCGACCAGCTCCAACGCCGCCGCCGCCGCCGCCACCTCCGCCACCTCCGCCGCCTCCGCTCCCACCGCCACCGCCGCCGCCTCCTCCGCCTCCACTGCTGCCACCGACACCTCCATCCTCGCCACCACTCCCACCACCACCCCCACCCCCTCCACTGCCTCCACTGCCACCTCCACCACCCCCGCCAGCCCCTCCAGCGCCCTTGCTTTCCTTGCCCTTGCCTGTGCGGCGTCTCCCGCTAGGGGCAGACGCAGCATTGACCGACTCGAAACCAACGAGGTCGGCCGCAGCAGCAGAAGCAACAGAGGGCAAGAGGGGAGAGGGGGAACACCCCTCAAAGACGGGGGTACGAGGGTCACCACGAGAGGCTCCTACAGCGACTATGCTCTTCTCTGCTGCCAGGAGGCGCTCCTCGAGGAGGTCAATGGTGAGTGTGGTGGGGCAAACTGAGAGGAATAGGTCCATGACGAAGCGAAGGGAGTCAGGGAGTCGGGTGACTATGTAGTAGAGGGTGATGTACATGGGGGGAGGGTTCTTGGCACATAACTCAGCAGGAAGCGCAGCGCGGTAGCGAGTGTCACTAGTGCGAAGGTGCGTAATGAGGTCAGCGACGGTGGGAAAGGCAGCAAGGTCAGGGAAGAGGTACGGTAGCATGAGGCGGCTAAGAGCAGCAGTGGCAGGGGAAGAGTAGCGTGCAACTACAGCGTCGTACAAGGTCTTAGCACTCTTGTACTGACTAAAGTGCGCACGCTCAGCGGTCGGTAAGTGGCGACGCACAGCAAGACGGGCAGCAGCATCGCGTGTGGCCCACTGTGAGCGAAAAGTGTTGTCAACAGTAGCAGGCGGGGCAGGAGAGGCACCAGAGGTGAGATCAAACAGAGAGAGTCCGTTTGCCTTATCGCACTGTAGGAAGAGCTGGAGTTCATCGACCCAGACCTCAAAGTCAGCAGCACGACCCTCAGCATCAAAGGTAAGGACACTGGGGGTAGCCATGACAGCAGTGGTCTAACAGGGAGTGCTCTCACCAGTCCGGGTGGTAAGGGCCGGGGCGTGCCGGTAGGAGCAGTAGCGGCTCGACGGCGGCTCGGCGGCTCGGCAGCTGGGCGGCTCGGCTGCTGGGCAGCTCGGCTGCTGGGTTGCTCGGCTGTTGGGCGGCTCGGCTGCGGGTTGGCTCGGCTGCTGGGCGGCTCGGCTGCTGGGCGGCCCGGCTGCTGGGCGGCTTGGCTACTGGGCGGCGCGGCTGCTGGGCGGCTCGGCGGCTTGGCGGCTCGGCGGCTCGGTCGCTGGGCAGCTGAAGGGGCCGTGAAGGGTGGCGACGGGGCCGCCAGGGGCGGCGACGGGGCCGAGAGGGGCGACGACAAGGCCGTTAGGAGCGGCGACGGGGCCGATAGGGGCGGCGACGGGGCTGCTAGGAGCAGCGACGGGGCCGATAGGGCCAGCGACCGGGCCGCTAGGGGCGGCGACGGGGCCGCAAAGGGGCCGCGAGGGGCCTCGAAGGGCAGCAACGGGGCTGATAGGGGCGGCGACGGGGCCGCTAGGGGCGGCGACGGGGCCGCAAAGGGGGCCGCGAGGGGCCTCGAAGGGCGGCGACGGGGCCACTAGGGGCGGGGACGGGGTCGCGAAGGGGCCGCGAGTGGCCTCGAATGGCGGCGACGGGGCCGGTAGGAGCGGCGAAGGGACCGCTAGAGGCGGCGACGGGGCCGATAGAGGCGGCGACGGGGCCGCAAAGGGGCCGAGAGGGGCCTCGAAGGGCGGCGACGGGGTCGCTAGGGGCGGCGACGGGGCCTCGAAGGGGCCGCAAGGGGCCTAGAGGGGGCGGCGACGGGGCCGCAATGGACGGCGACGGGGCCGTAAGGGGTGGCGACGGGGCCGCTAAGGGTGGCGCGGGGGGGGGGGGGGCGTGAGAGGCGATGTGAGGGCGGCCAACGGGGCGCGCCTCGGGCAGGGGCGACTCGCGCTCCGGTCAGGAAAAAAAATCAGTGGTGGGCCCTGAGAAGTGTTCCCACTAGGGAACCTGCTCTATACCATGTCAAGAAATGAGGAAGGAATGAATGAACTAGCAAGCAGGTCGGTACAAGTAGGAAAACCTAAAAGTGTTGTACCCCATATTGTCTACCCCACTACAGCCTACACAGACTATAGCATATGAGTTTGACACCAGTTTCTCCAGTTGCCCGTGTGCCAGTTGCTCCAGTTGCGCCGTGTGCCAGCAGCTTCAGCTGCCGCCCACCATCTTCTCTCCCCCACAGTCTCTCCTCCTCACTTGCCCTCTGTGATAGCCTCTTGCTTTGCTTATATTTGTGAACCATAAACTCCTGCTTGTTTTGCTGATTACACCCCACCTTGGCTATGGGGGTGTGTCAGAATGTTGTATTTGTCTAGCCTGCAGTGGGGTACTCCATAGCGAGTACAGCCCAATTTAGGGTTTCCTATATGTACTCAACTGCTTGCTAGTGCAACCACTCTTTCTTCTCCTAAACTTTCTACTCGCTATCTTCACAGTGGGCTTAGACGTGTCGCAACACGACTGGTTTAGATGGATTTTTACTGTACTAGAAAAGAGACCCCGCAAATCTGCGCTCATGTGGCACGTAGCCGCCAGGCACCCAATCTTTTCCAGCTCATGGCACGCGCCAGGTTTGAAGCTGTGTTAAAAAACTGATCGTAACACTTTGAGAACGTATTAGCCAATGATTTAGCGCCGCGTCATGTTGTCAAAGCGAAGATGTTCAAGTGTATGCTGAAGTGGTAAAAAGGCATTCTTTGTGTGCTCGATACTATATACAGCGACCGTTTCACAACAAAGAAATAATCAGTAGCTTGTAACTATAAATTAGCATGGAATATTTTGAACAATATAAACAGCACAACACCCAACTAGAGATATGAAAAACAAGTTCATAAACAACCCTATGTTATAACACTCAATTCTATCTAGTAATTCTATGAGATAACGTTGATTACTCTATCAAACTTTTGCATAACTCCATGGTTTTAGGGGGGTGGGGGGAAGATGCACATATTGTCATCTTGTTTGTAAAATAATTTCGTTTATTGTTGAATACATTAACACTGTTTTAGGTATGTTCTTTGTTTGAAGGACTTTCTTCCTACTCATAGATTCATTCTATTGGTGCAATTGAGGCATGATTATCATTCAGAAAAAAAAAAAAACGAAATATTAATATATTTGCATGGAGATTTCACACTTTGTGATTTTTTTCTAACATTTTCACAATCATAATCAACCAACCTTGTTTTAAACCCTGCTAATCTAAATATAGTATACATGGTCAAATTGTGCTTGCATTAGAAATTTCAGCCATGCCTGGTTGGCATTGTTATGCCTGGCGATAGACTAATAAACTACCCACCTTATTAAATCTGTAGAGGCAATAAAAACCGATTGCTATGCCTATCTTGTACTGCAATTCTTTTACAATGTCCTAACCATCTGCTATTGTATTTTCAAATATTAAAGTACTTATCTGAGCATACAGAACTGTATTCTATTTATAAAAAAAGTATCTACTGACGTATAATATTACACAAATATTTTACGCACTACTTAGCAACTGTTACAAAGAATATTGTCATGATGTTATTCTCTAGCCTGTAGTGGGGTGCTCTATAGCGAGTACAACCCATCTAGGGTTTACTATATGTATCCTCATTGCTGCTAGTGAAACCATCTTTTTGCCTAAAATTCTCTTGCCTAGCTAGGGCTTACCTAGCTATGGCTCCTAACTCTGCCTACTGTTCTCACATGCTATTAGAGCGGGTACGCTCCTGGCCTGTGGGCCCACCTGCTTCCGTTGCTACTCGATCTGTCGCACGCCCCGTGGCGTGCGCCGTAGGCGCACGGCGATTTGCCCTTCGCGGCCCCGTTGCCGCTCTTCGCGGCCCCGTCGCCGCCCTTCGCGGCCCCCACTCGGCCCGTCCCCCCCCCCCCTTCGCGGCCCCGTCGCCGCCCTTAGCGGCCCCGTCGCCGCCGCAGCGGCCCCGTCACCGCCCGCAGCGACCCCTTCGCCGCCCGCACCGGCCGCGTCGCAGCCTGCAGCGGCCACGTCGCCGCCCGCAGCGGCCCCGTCGCCATCTGCAGCGGCCCCGTCGCCGCCCGCAGCGGCCCCGTCGCCGCCCGCAGCGACCCCTTCGCCGCCCGCAGCAGCCCCGTCGCCGCCCTCCGCGGCCCCGTCGCCGCCCGCAGCGGCCCCGTCGCGGCCCTCTGCGGTCCCGTCGCCGCCCTCCCGCTGCCCCTTCGCGGTGCCCTGGGGAGCCGCGCGCGGCCCCTTGCTGCCCCGAAGTGGCGCCCTGGGGGCCGCGCGCCGTTTCCCTCGCCGTCCCCCGCGCTCCTTCCCCGTCCCACCCGTTTTAGGGTTTGGGGGTGCGGGGTGTGGGGGTGGCTGTTGTGGGGGTGTCGGTTGTGTGCGCCGACCCCTCCTCCTCCTCCTCCTTCGTCTCCCACTGTTGCAGCTGTCGCTGAGGGGGGTGGATGTGTGGGAGCCTGGGGTTTAGGGTTTAAGGGGGGTGCCGTGGGTGTGGAGCTAGGGTTTAAGCAAGGGGTGTGTGTCGAGGGTGTGGGGCAGTTGGAGGAGGTTGTGTGAAGGTAGCTGTCTTGTAGCCTGCAGCACCTATAGTCCGTCGCCCTTGCTTCGATAGCCAGTGAGCCTGTTGCACCAGTCGCCAGTGGGTCCATTGCTCCTGCCGCTCGTCTATAGCCGCGGAGCCAGTCACTCCAGTAGTCCGTCGCCCTTGCTTTGGTAGCCACTGAGTCAGCCGCTCCTGTGCCCGTGCCTCTGCAGCTTCAGTCGTTGCCTCCCATCTTCTCTCCCTCCACAGTCTCTCCTCCTCCTCACTTGCCCTCTGTGATTAGCTCTAGCTTTGCTTACCTTTGTGAACTCCTGCTCTATACCTGCTTGCTCATTGTACTGATTACACCCCACTTGGGGGTGTGTCAGAATGTTATTCTCTAGCCTGTAGTGGGGTGCTCTATAGCGAGTACAACCCATCTAGGGTTTGCTATATGTATCCTCATTGCCCTATCATCAGCAGAGGCCGAGTTCATCGCAGCGACAGCAGCAGTTCGCGAAGGCCTCTACCTTCAGGAGCTGCTGCAAGAGGCGAAAATCCCTGCCTCAACAAATTTTCGACTGCACTGTGACAGCCAGAGCGTGATCAGGATCGCGAACAAGCAAGGATTCGTCAACCGCACCAAACACATTGCGATGCGGTACTTCTTCGTCAAAGACGAAGTTGACAAGGGCAAGGTTGACCTAACCTATTGCCCGATGGGTGACATGGCAGCAGCCTTCCTCACGAAGAAATTGCCACGACAGCAATACCAGCACTGCTCCGGACTCAGCGGAGTAGTCAAGCGGGTCAAGACCTGCTACGACTAGGAGTGAAGGGGGGTGTTACGAATAGTGATTATCGAAACACTACTGTACACTCCTCTCCGCAGCAACCAAAGCACGCACTACCGGGAATGAAGATAAAAGGGCGCAAGTGACGCGAAGAGTCACACGGTTACGAAAAGAATCTGGACCGTCGGGCAGACAGCATCAGGCAGCAGCAGTGGCGAGGATTCTGCCCGAACAGTTACGTAACCACTCCGAGTCGCACAGCTGGATTTTGCTGTAATAAGGGAATGTACCTCTTAGAGTACATGGCTAGCTAGGTCGTTTCGAATTCCCCTGTACTCATATTTATATTCCTTGTACTGCATGTTTTTAATCATCTCAAGCATTTACATTCACGCTGCTATTGAGGTCAAGGGCCCACCACCACTAGACTAGAACTGTGCAAGCCTTCCTGAGGTGATCCTGGTTACGATCACTTTCTGATTCTAACAATGCTCTGCGTATATCGACACTCTTGACTTTCTGAACCCCGAGTTGTTATTCCTGCGAGATCATTAGCTGACGTGTCCAGTGTTCCAAACTCATGTTTACATCGGCTTTTGTTAAGTTAAAAACCTACCAACGTAAGATCAG